TTCGATAAAATTATCCATAGATTACGCCCTTAAAGTTTGATCACTACAAGCCCGGACACACTGTATAATTTAAGATGATATTTGACAAATAAATACTTTCAATACTTGTTATTATTGTTTATTGTTATACACCTAGTGTTACATAATAAAGCTGAGCTATTTAAGAAAATCAAACTTCCTGTGGGTTTCAAGCAATTGCTTCTCTTTAATGTATTTTCCTTTTGAAGCAGTGCGTGGTAGTTTATTTTGACTTTCAACAAATAAGGCGAATAGTGTACCTGAAGTCCATTCAATATAATATTTAAACTTTAAAATATTTATAATTAAAATAAAGGGCGGCGGATTTCCGGACGGCCCCGGGCGGCGAAAAGACACGCTACGCCACTGGTAGCTTGGGGTCATTGGACGAAATTCTACGTGCTCGGCGAACGAACTTTATAAAAAATACCACAAATATGAGCGCAAGTAGGTATATTAGATATTGCTTATACTTACAAGGGGCTGTACAGGGGAAGTGATGAGGTTGTCCCGGAAGGCCTGGGACTCGGCCCGCGAGCGCGCGCAAGCGGAGTCCGACGTGGTCCTGCTTCGGGCCGGGGCGGCGGCGATGGCGGGGGCAGTGACCTGTAACGAGATCATTTTTATACTTTTAAATAAGTAATGATCTGCAAAAAACATTTTCCATCATTTGCAACAGTCTCCTAATTAGTTCCCAAATCAATGCCATGCCTGAACGTGTAAAACTGGTAGAAAAATGTTTCATTTTAAACCGGATCACACTCACACTAGCGACGTATCAGCGCCCTCTAGCGACAACAGCGAGCAAAGCTCTGTTTCGTGTACCTTTCGGTACTAAATGATTACGATTTGGTGAATTTGTTATTTACTGGCACCGCTGAGTCAATATCAGGTAGTGTGTTATCGGTAAGGCAAGTGCGGCATAACATAATGGCGGCATAAATGCCTTACCGGTATTATCGGTACCGCGGGAGCAGTTTCATTGCGTTACCAGTAACGGAAAGGCAGCTTTAGTGCCCTACCGGTACCTAGAGGGCATCTTAAGTTCGTTACTTACTGGTATCGCGGGAGTGACAAGCGTAACATAACATTACATGATATTGTGCTGTGTACTATCCTTAAATAAATAAATAACCGGTATGTTGGTAGCAGCATAGTTACCGGTAGGACGGGGGCGGCGCACGGCTTCGTCAGCGAGGACAGCGAGCGGCCGCATACCACGCCGCAATCCGAGTAGTTTAGTATGTTACCGGCAACACAGGGGCGTTAGCAACTTACCGGTAAGACAGGGGCGGCGTTAGCAACTTACCGGTAAGACAGGGGCGGCGTTAGCAACATACCGGTCAGACAGCGGCGGCGTTAGCAACTTGCCGGTAAGACAGGGGCGGCGTTAGCAACTTACCGGTAAGACAGGGGCGGCGTTAGCAACATACCGGTCAGACAGCGGCGGCGTTAGCAACTTGCCGGTAAGACAGGGGCGGCGTTAGCAACTTACCGGTAAGACAGGGGCCGCGTTAGCAACTTACCGGTAAGACAGGGGCGGCGTTAGAAACATACCGGTCAGACAGGGGCGGCGTTAGCAACTTACCGGTAAGACAGGGGCGGCGTTAGCAACTTACCGGTAAGACAGGGGCGGCGGTTAGCAACTTACCGGTAAGACAGGGGCGGTGTTAGCAACTTACCGGTAGGACAGGGGCTGCGCGCGGCTCCGTCAGCGAGGACAGCGAGCGTAGCAGCGAGCGGCCGCACGCCACGCCGCAATCCGAGTAGTTGCTCGCGCACGAGTATGGCGGCGGTATGATCGAATTTGCCTGCAACAAGATTCGAGACCATCTTAAGCTGAGCTAATGTTGATACTAAGTAGAAAACTGCAGCTCACAACTTACTATAAATCACGGTGAGACTGTGTCGCATCACAAATACTATGCACGGTGACTAGAGTAATATCACAGAACATAGTCACAGTAATATGAACGAACCTTAATTGGCGCCCAACATGGAGCTAGCATGAACTTACAAGCTTTTTCAGAGCAAAGCAAATTGCAATGAACATGAACATACAATTTACTATTTCTTTTAATGAAAATATGCACATATTTTGACTACTTACCTCATTTGCTGCGTTGCATATGAAACTGGAGTTGAGAGATTCTGCAGTACTCGTCGCTGAGAGAGAGCCTGAAACAAATGCATAAATACATTTTAAAAATCTTCCGTAGTTTATTCGTAGCCACAGTTCGTATGCCTAAACGAACGACGATTTGTAAGAACTACATATTTAATAGTCTATACCAGTCTATACAAATAAAGAAATTTTGACTTTGACTTTAAAACACACACAGTTTTATTTAGCCTTCTAAAACACAGTTTTATTGTGTAAATTACTAACAGTAGTCACATTCAGCTTTGCTAGCCGTAAAGCTCCCTCGTGCTTCTTGAAAATATCTTTCACTGGATCTAACATTTTTCTTGGTCACAGTAACCTAGCATTAAGTTATTTCGTCCTTGTTGATCCTTTACCAGTAAAACTAAGTAACAACAAAGATAGTAATAATTAAACTGGAAATTGTCAATTTAAAGACGATTCGCACAGTAAAGTAACTTAATCTAAATCTGTGAATTCAACCAATGCAAAAATGCTGTCTAATTATTTATAGGAATGCGTCTGACTCTCACTGCAGTCGCTCGTTAACTAACAAAGTATGCACAGGGCTTGGTAATTGAGTTATGCCTTTCCTTGATAATCTGCAAGCTGATTAGAATGCGTGGGCGGCATTAAGCCGCATTTGATTGTAGGCGCATTATGCATCTTACGGCTCTCTCGAGGAGAAGCCATAGTGCGTTATTATAAGCCTGGGGCTACTAGAACAGCAACTTTTTTTTATCTAGATAGCCTTCAAGATAACCTTGGCCATTTTGAAAATTATAAATAACTTGAAAAAATCGAACCGCCTAAGGCGGGAATTGATCCCACGACCTTCCACTTGCCGGGCGACTGCTCTTCCAACTGAGCTACTTAGACACTGGATGAACACGTCGAAATTTTCAAGTGTAATAAGCTGTTACGGCCAGCGTTTGTTTCATCAATGCTGGGTATACCTACCTAGCCTTGACCATATTTAACATTTGACTTAAAATCCTACTTTCATTCATGTATTTTATTTAAAATCTTTATTGCACAAAAGACTGCGTTACAAAAGGCGAACTTAATACCATGTGGCATTCTCTACCAGTTAACCTTTAGGCCAAACAGACACTATTCGTTTGTTTCAAATAAATGCCGTCGACCGTCGAGATAAAGGCATCCCCCACGGATTTCCACATCAATCCGGTGCCTCCTGCATCCAGATGCTTCCCGCGACCTCCACCAGATCGTCGGTCTTTTCTGCCTTAGCGGTCACCAGCTTTACGTGTCCCATTGCCACTTATGTTTGTCGCTTCGGCGGGCTATTATTTTGGTTTTTCTGCGAATTTCTGACTCCATCACGCATGAAATCAATGTGTGGTATTTGCCCCACTTACTGATACCTAAGATTGGCTTTTCTGCGGGTCATGTTAGCTACTTTTGCAGATCTTCTCATTTCTGACTCCATCACGTAAGAAATCTATTTCGAAATCAAACTTTCATAATAAATGTTGGGATGTGATGCTGCGGGCTATTTTGGTTTTCCTATGGATCTCCTATCTCTGATTCGATCACGCAAGAAATCTATTACGAAAACCTTAATAATAAATGTTACAACGCACCTGGCGCGCGTATGACGTAGTTCCGGAAGTAGTGCACCATGAGGTAGTTGCCGCCGCCCTTGCCGTCGCCGTCGCCGCACGTGATCACCAGCGGATACAGGTCCGGCTTCGACGTTACCTACAAATAAATAAATGCATTTCTGAAGAAGTCTTGATATTATGCTTGCGAAGATAAAGAGTTACAACCAGACTAACATAGATAATGTCCTGCCATTGGTTTAATAATTTCAATTCAAGCATTCAAAGGCTACAATCTATGCAGAAGATGAAGTGATGTTTTGTGGGTAATTTTGAAATACAGGTCTAAGACCTGGTTCCGAGTTCAAACACAGCGATAATCGCGCGGTTGCTGGCAGTTCTCGTACATTTGCATTGCAAACTTCAGTGCCTTGCCAATGAGAACCACCCAGAAACCGTGCGTGTCTGAACTAGGCCTAAAGTGTAAAGACAACTCACCCATAGTTCTATCTGCATTACGGTATACGAACCGAATCTTGAGAGCGCGTAGTTACTGCATCGAGGCTCTTCTCCACTAATTCCGTCCCTTCTCTTGTCTTTTAAGTTTCAAACAGTAAGACAATACCTCTGAATACGGCGGCGGCGCCTGGTGGAAGGAGCCGCAGCGGCTATAATGCGGCGGCGGGTAGACGGAGCCGGCCGAGTCGTGCTCGGACGCGCGGCGCCGCAAGCAGCATATTCGATGGTATATTCTAAAGCCCGGTCGCCGAGCACGTAGAATTTCGTCCAATGACCCCTAAGCTACCCATCCTTATCGCTCGCGCGTAATTATATTGCTGTTGCGCTCGCACACTCACTGCGGCCGCCCGTCGCAGTCGCGACAGCAATATAATTACGCGCGAGCGATAAGGATGGGTAACTTGGGGTCATTGAACGAAATTCTACGTGCTCGGCGACCGGACTATAGAGCAGTGAACTACCTCTGAATACGGCGGCGGCGCCTGGTGGAAGGAGTCGCAGCGGCTGTAGTGCGGCGGCGGGTAGACGGAGCCGGTCGAGTTGTGCTCAGAGGGATTACTCTGAAAAACGTTATCCGAAGTTTCCAAAGTTGCCATCCCTCTCACGTAAAGCGAGATGTCAGCATAAGCGACGCAGTGACAGATGATCCGAAACTACGTATCAGCGTTTCGGAGTAGCTTGTATCCTATAGCAGTAAGCTACCTCTGAGTACGGCGGCGGCGCCTGGTGGAACGACCCGCAGCGGCTGTAATGAGGCGGCGGGTAGATGGAGCCGGCGGAGTCGTGCTCGGACGCGCGGCGCCGCACGCAGCACGATGGTATATTCTAAAGCCCGGTCGCCGAGCACGTAGAATTTCGTCCAATGACCCCCAAGCTACACATTCTTATCGCTTGCGCGTTATTGCTGTCGCGACTTTGCGACGGGCGGCCGCAGTGAGTGTGCGAGCGATAAGGATGGGTAGCTTGGGGTCATTGGACGAAATTCTGCGTGCTCGGCGACCGGACTATAGAGCAGTGAACTACCTCTGAATACGGCGGCGGCGCCTGGTGAAACGACCCGCAGCGGCTGTAATGTGGCGGCGGGTAGACGGAGCCGGCAGAGTCGTGCTCGGACGCGCGGCGCCGCACGCAGCACGCCAGCGAGCACGCGTACACGTGCGCCGAGCGCCGCACGAGCAGGCACCACGCGCAGCACAGCACGATGCCGCCCAGAGTGCCGAGGAGAAACAGCACCGACCTGCGCGAGAGACAAGGAGGATTGTAGAATAGTACAGATGACAGCTCATCAAACTTAACATACCTACTGGCGACTTATCACGTTGCAATACAGCCTATTTTGCAACAAAAATGTATAATTCTGATGTGCTTTCGAGTGTGCATCGTCACCTGTCCTTTTATTTTAGACAATAATGTCCTCTCCCTAGGCTGTGCGTAACGTTTCCTAGCGATAAGATCGCCTACAATGTGCTGTTTCGCCACATTACATACGTTTTAAGTACTTAGTGACTCATATTCGTTTTAATTTCGAACTTGATTATCCAAATAAAAGTTGATTCCGCACTTCGAAGCGATGCTTCGTCCATTATACTACTTTGTCTAGGGCTACTTCCTAGCTAAGTAGGTAACTGCTACTATTAATAGGTTACTAGAGACGTCTCTTATTTAGACTTACATAGATTAACAACCTCAGTTTCAAATTGTGTCTAACATGGATGAAACCTTCATAAAATCTTGGAATCTTTTAGTAAATAGAACAAGTAAGTACATAATAAAAACCTAATTTCCATAATCAGCAAACAAACCAAAACTTTTATAGTACAACGTTACACTCTGTTTATTCCATTTAAAGGCCCATTAACTTAGAGGCTTGTTTGCATTACGGCCGCTTGTTTCACGCGCCATATAGTTGTCGCGACCGTCGTCAGTCCAGCCGGCCCCGAACCTGGGACCCTCATCAAAGTCAGTAGGCGACGGGACAATACAGTTTATATTGCGTAGTAGGTGCTTAAGTAGTTAGAAAATTGATAAGGAATTAAATAATGAATTAAAAGGCCGGAAGGTTCCGATTCCCGGTCCCTGTCCTTTGATTAGTAGCGTAAGATAATTTTTATAACTAACAATGTCTTTTAATTGAGAATGTAGGCAGGTTTTATTATTAAACCTAACTGTATAGAAACCAAAACTATGTTTGACAATATATTAATTCAGTTTTTTTTGGTCTTGGTAAGTACTTGTTGCGATTTCAGTACTACGCCGACCGAATTCTCCGATAATAAGAAAAGTATTCACATGTTTGTATACCTAATGTAAGTTACATTCATAATGTTATTTGCGAAGTTTACGGTGGAATGGAGAAATGCGAGTCCCGAAACCGAACCCACAAACCAATACCCAGGAAACAACATGAATTATTTCATCCATCCCGGCATTTTTATTAGTTTCGTGCCTTACCAACATAAAAATGGCCATTCCGTGAGTGTAGTTTCGTAAGTAAATTATTTATTTTATGAGCACCGCGCCTAGTCTGGAAGTTTCATAATTCATTGCCCAGTGCAAAGAAAAGCTGTTGCTTTACGAATACAGCCTTCTTGTCTTCTCCTAAAATAAAGAAAGGTAGTCTTTTACATCACTTACCACCCATCCTGGGTGAGGCAATAGCAAAAAAACACAAAGAGCCAACGTAAGCTCTACTTCTTTACAAAAAAATAAAATCACGTAAATGAACAGAGTAACAGAGTGGTCCTATAAGATCCTTTTCTTTTTAAGATACTCACGTTCCGTGAGTATGTTTTATGACAATCTTATATGTTTTCGCGCTACTACCTCTCAGTACAACCATATTTGTGGTACAACCCGATCGAGTGAGTGAACTGTGCACCTGGCTGGAATGCGACTCTCTCTCGCACTCATCCGTGCACTTCCCCGCCTTCCAGGCCCAGTCGCCTGTTGGGGCATGGATTCAGTTCTGTCCCACATTGGGGACAGTGCATCACTCACATTGTGCGTACCACGGGTAGTACGGCAGCTCCTTGCAGCACAGGCCCAGGCCCAGTCGCCTGTTGGGGCACGGGTTGTCTTCTGTCCCACACTGGGGACAGCGCTCACTCACCATTGTGCGTACCACGGGTAGTACGGCAGCTCCTTGTGGGGCTCATCGTCGCGGCGCGAGGGCGCGCCGGGGGCGCAGCACCCCACCTCACAGCACAGCCAGTGCGCCGGGCACAGCCGCCCGTCGGGGCACGGGTTCTCTGCTGCATCACACTGGGGACAATTCCTTTTATTTGTACCTAGTTCAAAATATTCTCAAAAGGTATCGTTATAAATTATAATCAAATAAGCATTAACTTATAGGAACTTTTACATTACATAAGTTACGGGAATATCCCTTTGAAGAAACGCAAATAAATACTCTATGGCATAAAAGGGTCTATTCCAGGCAACACTTCGGTGTCCTTTGATCACCCATGGATAAGAAGTCCACTTAAGTAGTTCACCTAAGTCAAAGGACACCCATAAAAGTTCACCTGTAACGTTTCCGTAATGCCACAAAATACTTTGGTGGTAGTGCCAAATCGCACATGAAGTGTATCGTGTGAATCGTACCTACTTAGGTGGATAAGTCATAATTACTTTTAACTCTCATTACCTCAAAACAAAAGCTTCCAAGTTAAGGTAAACGTATCTACATTTACCTAAACTCTATAACACATTACATAAGTGTAGTTCGCTGTCGAAATTACGACGTAGGCTAAGATCCCTCGGTTGAATGACGCACGTGAATTTTGTATGAGCTGCCGCTAGATGAAAGGACGCCATCAAGAACTCTGTGCAAACGCTCAATGAATGGCACGGAAATTGGTTTCTTTGGCTGAACACCACAGTTTGCAAACATTATGTGGGAACGTAAGTACACATGAGCACACAGTCGAATGGGAAGGAATATTTAATGTGTTCAAATAGTACGGGAGAATTGAGAAGGAATTGGATCTTGGTGTAGTAGATATATTGCTTGCGGAATCTTTATTTTATTTATTTATTTTTATTTTATTTTGTTTTATTCAGAAAACAAACAGCTTACAAATATATAAATTGCATACTTACATACTTACATAATTTAGAACTACTTAAGTACGGTAGTTAGTAAAATAATAATGTAAATATTTCTGACAAAAAGTAGCCTAATCATGAGCTGGTATACCTACATTGCTGCAAAGGTTTGGTAGAGTGTGCGAAAGAATTACACGAATTAATTCCACCAGCCCCCTTCCATCATCGGGGAACCAGACGCAGGTTAGCGTACCATCCCTATATTGTTGACATTCCACCAGCTCGCACTAAGCGTTTCGATGACTCTTTTATAATGCGAACAGCTAGGGACTGGAATTCGTTGCCTGCTGCTGTCTTTCCCGAAAACTATAATCCGGGCCTCTTCAAGGCGAGAGTGAATAAGCACTTACAGGGCAAATATGTACCATCCTAGACTGCATCCCACTTAACATCAGGTGCGATTGTGGTCAAATACCTGCCTTGTTATGCATAAAAAAAAAGAGTCGAAGTCTGCTGAAATTCTTGAAGTTCTCTTTGAAGTAGTATCGATCGACATACGCCAAAACCAGCAAATGAAAACTAATATAGGTAAAACAGATTCGTCTGTAGGTCGAAGCGTCCTCTGCAGCTTATTCATTTTAGGTAATGCAAATAGCAGGCGACGACTCCCACCATCGTATACCAGACAGGCAACGTCGTAATAACATGATAATTGATATCAGAGCGTGTGACATCAACAAAAACGTTTCCGTGCCGCTCCCATACCTCAGGAACTGACCTTATTATAATACGTTAGTGAGATCTTGTATCGTATCTGTTAAGTCTTAAGAGTCTTTAGAAATCTGCTCAATGCTCTTCCATTGTGCAAGTAAAGTCTATTTTAAGCCAATCGATACAGGTGCAAGTGCATCCCGCATTCCCGCCTCCCTCACACTGAGGCTTTTATAGAAATAGCGCGACCCTCTTTGTCGGATTACAAGCGCTCGTATTGCCATGGCAACTGCCCTCCCCACGCGAATCCGCGTTGTAAAAATATATCCGCATATTAAAACTGCCTGTTCGTCTATCACTGCTAACTTTTATGAGCTTTAGTAGAGATACTACTGAACCTCTGAAAAGGATTCGAGGCTACGGCTACCTACGGTAAAATACGGGATGCAATAGTTTTATTATATGTCAAACTAGGGATATTAAAATTCGATTTAAACTTCAGGTTTTTCTGAAAATAGTAGATCAGATTTCATCACTGTGTTTAATCACGAATCACGAGTCGATAGCTGAAATTCAGACAGGTGGAACCAGTGGCGTAACTATACCGTTCGAGGCCCGTGGCAAATTCATCGAATGGGCCCTCCCACTTTCCCAATATAA